TCATTAAATGATTTAGGCAAGTTTCGTCTACTTATGTTTATAGGATCCTCTCGTAATTACAGACAAGTTTCTTAGTATCATTATTAAAGGAAGAAAGAAATTTAACATATTGATGCATATTCATTTTATTCCGAGTACTTTCGACAATAATCACAATGTCATCATCAGGGTCTTGTTTTTCTCAAATTAGTATTCGGAATAAAATGAATGTGTATCAACATCGTAATTTTTTTCTTTCTTTAATAAGGGTACTAAGAAACGTGTCAGTAATTACGAGAGGTTGATATTAAACGTAAGTACCAAAACTTGTATAAATTATTAAATGAGATATGTCTTAATGATAACATGCTGACAAAATATACTCTCTCTTTCTCTCTCTCTCTCTCTCTCTCTATATATATATATATATATATATATATATATATATATATAATGTCATATATTATGAAATACACAAAGTCCGACAATTATTTTAATATATTTTTATTGTTATACGTTATTTATATAGATACAAATATTTAAGTAAATGCTTATAATAGACTGTATTAACTACATTTACCGGCCTGAATGTCCGAGAAATTTTCATAGAAAATATGTGTCCTCCGGCAGGAATCGAACCTGTATCATATAGCCTGATGTGCTATAGCAGTTTAGCAGTTTAGCTACAGTGGAAGCAAGCTTAGCAAGTTTGCTTTTACTCCTTTTGAACTACAATTTTCCATGATTTCCCTCGAAATTTCATATCTGCTCGAAGCGTATACAAAGGTAAATAAATGACGTCACACACCACGAAATGGACAAAGTCCGAAAATTTGTTTACTTACGTAAACAAATTTTCGGACTTTGTAGACTTCGAGGAAAATCATGGAGAATTGTTTAAAAGCAGTAAAATCGACCTTGCAAATAGGTTCTCCTCTGTAGCTAAATGGTATAGCACTTCATATAATATAACCGTTTCGTGTAGGATACAGGTTCGATTCCTGTCGGAGGACACATATTTTCTATGAAAATTCAGGCCGGTAAATGTAAATAATATTGTTTACTATAAAGAGAGCATTTACTTAAATATCTATATTCTATCAAAATAACGTATAAACAGAAAATATACTCCATTTCATAATGTATATCTATATCTATATATATATATATATATACCTTACATTATTTACACAACTCCTAGTTTCATGCCGAAGCACTTGTCAAGTGTTGTAATTCTATTTTTTTAGGGGGGAGGGTTAAAAAATTCTAGTTCTCGCAAGATACTTTATTGTTGGTGTGGAATATTATTGTTGTTAAAATATAGAAATAAATTGTAGTTTAATTTTGTATGTGAATTTAGGCCCAGATTATATATATATATATATATTAAATAGCTCTGTTATTTAACATTGAGCACTTTTTTTTACACTACAGAGTATTTATATGTATTTGTATACGATCATTCGTTCATATACCTACTTATATTTACCCATTCGTTTGCAGACACACACACACACACACACATACACACACACACATATAATGATAATAATAATAATCATTATAATGGACTCTCCCGTCGGTTTCGACGTATGAGGATCTGGCAGCTTATTGATTCAGTTATGAAATTTTATGCGATAATCTTAAGTGATTTACAAAGGAGGTCGCATCTGGAGGAAGTGCAAGGATTGTGAGATGAGATCACTGTTAGATTGGTTGACCTTTTAGATCTTGCTCTCGCTTCTTGAAGATGATTCAGACAAGCAAATTGAAAATTGCTGAGTCCACTAAAACACATTGATCTCCATTCTACCCGCTCCAAGGGTGTTATGTGGTATTTTGACTGCTTACAATTTGCTTTTCAGCTTGTCTTTGTATCTTAGCCATGGGCGTCCTACATTCCTGTAGCCCTGATCTAACTGACTATACATTAGGATCTTGGGTATCCTGTCATCAGGCATTCTCAAGACATGACCAGTCCACAGTAACTGAGACTGTATGGTAAAGTCTCGATATATATATATATATATATATATATATATATATATATATATATATATATATATATATATATATATAATAATTGCACATATGTTACTCCAAACATTTTATTAGGCAATACTCTTGTCTGAGTATACGCCCCATTTACAAAAAGTGTGTATTACGTCCGCCTGCCTGTGCGCTCGAAAAAAATGTCCTCATCTTTGTCGACATATTTATTACAACGTTTCGGCCATTGTATGCTCCGGTCTTCTCCAGGTAGTTGGAATGTTCCGAATAATGTTGACTCAAATAATTCCATCATCGTGAATAAGTGAATGAACTGACTTTACACCCTCACAGCCATCCACCCACCCACACACACACAGCTAAACACACTCACCAACCCATATAATTATTATTACGTATCCATTATTTATTAGTAGGTCGAATGGAACTTTAAGACTAGAAGAATAAAATTAAATTAATAAAATTTAAATATTAAAAATTTGACAAACTCATATTTAAATGATCTTTTTAGAAAATCTTTGTTTATAAAAATCTGAAGTAAGCGGATGAATAAAAATGCCCACTTTTTTTATCATTGAAAACTCAAACGGCTCACCGTAGTATACGTTTGTTAACAGGTACCCCTACCCGACCTAAAGTTAACCTGACTTCGTAAGTGACATATATTGGATACATAAATTGTCTATGGAAATGAAAATCGAACTACACCTAAATTAAAATAGAATGAATTTTACTTAACCTCATCATATTAATATTGTCTGCACTTATAAATTAAGTGCAGACAATATTAATATTTCTTAGAAAGTTATTCCTTGCATCGCTTGACAATGGAACGAGACGATGGATTTTAAGTTTAATTTTTATAATTAAATTTATAAATTTAGTTTTCAGTTTTGAAACATGGAAATTTCGCGACGGAATCATATTTTTAAAAAGAAAATAATTATAATAATTATTATTATATATTTATTCTAAGAGATTATAATAAAAACATTTTGAAATTCCTACACAAAAGCTTTCATGTTTCAATACTATGACTGTACTTCTTCAGGCGATGCTAAGTAACTGTTGATTATATAATTTTTAAAGAAATTTGAAAACAAAATGTCTTTTCCGAAAGTTAAAGGCGTGAACATAATAAGGACAGATATAAAAATAGACTTTATTTATTTTATGTAAGTGTTGTTTATATATTTTACATCAAATAAATAGACAACACAGTATTTACATTACATTACATTACAAAGATGAGGACAATAGTCCGACTAATGTAAATACTATACATAATACCTCATCTCAGAAATATAGACAAATAGACAACACTTGTCTATATTATTTAATGAAACGTGTATGAATATATATATATATATATATATATATATATATATATATATATATATATATATATATATATATATATATATAGTGATTGAATTATATTTATTCATTTTATTACTTGAACGTAATTTTAATAATAAAAAATGAAGAAAAAAAAATTGATGATGCGAAATAAAGAAAAAAGATATATACAGTTTTAAAGAAGGTTAAATTAACTTACAGGAAATAAACAAAAATCTTTTCAAAGCATCTAAAAAATTAAATATATATATATATATATATATATATATATATATATATATATATATATATATATATATATATATGAAAAGAAAAAATACAGAAAAAACAAACAAAAATCTGAATATGCAATTATGTAGTATTAATGTTAATATAATTGCATATTCAGATTTTTGTTTTTCTGTATTTTCTTCATACTGTCGGATCTATATACATATATTTGCTTACATATATATATATATATATATATATATATATATAAAATTAAGATATATATATATATATATATTATATACCTATATACGTATAAATATATATATATATAAAATATATATAAATATATGCAACTTAAAAAATGAGTATGTATATAAAATAATAAATATATATATATATATATATATATGCAATTTTTATGTATATTATTTATATATTATATATACGCGGTACGTATTGAAAAGCGTCCAATATCAGAGATAGAGACAACATATTTAATCGGATTGATGTGAGTTTGTGATCCTGGGTTTCACGCTATTTGCGATCGTCAGACAAACTGATTAATTTTTAAATTTTGGATTTATAAATCTAAAATTTAAAAATTAAATTTTTTGCCTGACCGATCGCTAATAGCGTGAAACACAAAATCCCAAACTCACATCAATTGAACTATATATATATATATATATATATATATATATATATATATATATAGTGGCCTGACGATTCCGTCTTGCATGAAAGTGTTGACTTCAATGTTCACTTTTATATTTATATTTACATACTCTATATCTCAGATATTGAGCACTTTATCCCATAAATATAGCACATCTTAAAACTATATTTCTTCATATATATATATATATATATATATATAATTTTTGTACCAACTGTCACAGTTAAATTTCTAACGAACATAAACTCTGGGGTTGACGAATTTTTCGTCGGCTGAAATCAGCCAATACACCATATGAGGTAATTTTGGATTTTATTATGTACTAATTATTTGCTCTGTAATAATAAATCCACTGATCTCTTTTTGTGGATCAGTTTTAATATTTTTATATTACTAGGATCCACTTGGATTATATACCAACGGATTTATACTTTTACTATATATATATATATATATATATATATATATATATATATATATATATATATATATATGTGTGTGTGTGTCTTCATGTTTGTATGTGTGCGTCTGTGTGCCTCCATGTGTTTGTGTGCTTCAATGAAAATGTAAAATGGAATGCTGGGAGTTCTTCGATCAACGAAAGGGGCGAAATATCGCAACAAACATGCAAAAAGTTTCAATTTTCCAAAAAATAAAATAGATAAGTATATTCTATAATATGCCGATAAATGTTTTCCATTTTCAAACTTATCTTAATTCGATAAAATTAATTTGCGCAACGAAATGCCATCTTAACTGTAAAATGCCGGTATCAATAAATTAATAAAAAAAAAAAAAAAAAATCTGGTCCAATGTTTTAAAATTTTTTTATCTTCATTATTATCGCTGATCCAGTATCAAAATTGTTTATGTTTTCAATTCTCATTCGATCACTGGACAAAATAACAATGACGTCAAAAACAAAAGTCTTTTTTTTTCTTTAAATACATGTTCCAATGGCAAAAGATGGCGACAATTTAACCAACGGCTTACCTTGATTTTCCAATGACGTCACCTTGTGAAAATTTTTCAAACTATAAAGTTTTCGGATAGAAAAGGCAGGAAGAGACGCCATAGAATTTTTTTTTCTTAAAAGGAAAGGCCATTTTTTTTATATTAAAACTTGCAATCCAGTTACTCATTATCTATGTAAGTCTGTTAGGTCTCACTCTCTTTCTCTCTCGCATTTCCTCTCTCTCTCTTTCGCTATCTATCTATCTATCTATCTATCTATCTATCTATCTATCTATCTATTTCAGTCTTTTTTATCTATCTATCTATCTATCTATCTATCTATCTCCGCCAGTTCTCCCTTTCTCACTTTCTCTCTCGCCCCATATATATATATATATATATATATATATATATATATATATATATGTGTGTGTGTGTGTGTGTGTGTGTTTTGTCAGAAACGACTAGCATAAATGTAGAAATTGTCTGACTGTTTCGTATGTCCGAGCACTTTCAGTTATAATTTAGCCATTATCAAGGATGATTCTATTTTGGATTTTAACGGAATATATTGATTGTTTTCTGTATGTATCTAGAGTTATAAGGACATTTTATTTTCTAAACACGGTCAACACATTATTGCTGTGTTCATAGTTTATGTGTGTAAATGACCCACACGGCATGTTGAGATGTCGTTAAACAGACAAATCAATCGAACTTCGTAGAATGGCGTTACAGAATCACTATACATACATACATACATACATGAATGTCGGAGAACGCATATTTTCTATGAAAATTTCTCGGACATTCAGGCCGGTAAATGTTGTTTAATACTGTTTATTATAAACAGAGCATTTACTTAAATATTTGTATCTATAAAAAGAATGTATAAACATAAAAATGTCTTAAAAATAATTGTCAGACTTTGTCCATTTCATAATATATATATATATATATATATATATATATATAAGGTATACTTTGTCTTGGGCAAAGTAAGACCCTGATGGTGACATTGTGCTAATGTTGAAAGTACTCAGAATAAAATGAATACACATCAACATGGCAATTTTCTTTCTTCGCTTAATAGAAATAGTAAGAAACTAGTCCGTAAATGCAAGAGGATTCTATTAAAAATAAAATAAAAAAACTTTACTCATTTATTTAAGGAAGCGCGCGCACACACACACACACACACACATATATATATATGTTTCTGTGTGTGTGTGTGTGTGTGGTTGTCTAAGAAAAGACAAGTATAGAAAGACAATAAATTTCTTGAAATTAGAATCTGGACATTGCTAAACAGAAAAAAAGGAAGTAGTGGAGGGAGATAAACAAGTAGCTACTTTAAGGAAGATTCGGAGAGAAGTTGATAGAGAAAGTGAAAACGAGAAAGGTGTTGAAAGATAAAAACAGAAGATTTCCCAAGTGACTTTTGACTGAAGACATGTTTGATAAAATATATATATATATATATATATATATATATATATTGTTTTGTTTTTTTGCATTGATAAAATATGCACCATTTGCACCGACTTGAATTGTAAACAACATTTTTATCCACCTCGGCTTCCATACATGTCTTGGGTATGGTTAGACTAAAGATAGTCTAAAAGCGTTTTTCAATTTTTTTTTTTATTTTTTTATTTTTTTAATTGCTTTTGAAAAGCGAATGAAGGTCTTTTTTTTTTTGTCTTCCAATGTAACTTGTCACCTCAGACCAAAACACTTCTTACAGCGCACGGGCAGAGATGTGGCTCCCCAAGGACTCTTTGTATTGAGTTCAATTCTCACCTGGAAGAGTCTCCATATTGCGAACTACAGATATTAATTGATATCAGATTTGTTTCGCTACAAGGTAAAATAGAAAATTATAGAATGGAGAGATTGTGCAGCGCCGTAATTCTAGTTATGCACCCTATGGATTTATTTTTGGACTACAAATGGAATATCGATGAATCAAATAACAACAACAACAACAACAACAATAATAATAATAATAATAATGGCAGGTCTAACACCATCACCACTACTACGACGAGAGTACAGTCGTCCTCCTTTCCTCTCTTTACTTAATAATAATAATAATAATAATAATAATAATAATAATAATGGCAGGTCTAACAGCATCACCACTACTACGATGAGAGCACAGTCTTTCTCTTTTCCTCTCTTTACTTAATAATAATAATAATAATAATAATAATAATAATAATGGCAGGTCTAACACCATCACCACTACTACGACGAGAGTACAGTCGTCCTCCTTTCCTCTCTTTACATAATAATAATAATAATAATAATAATGGCAGGTCTAACACCATCACTACTACTACGACGAGAGTACAGTCGTCCTCCTTTTCTCTCTTTATTTAATAATAATAATAATAATAATAATGGCAGGTCTAACACCATCACTACTACTACGATGAGAGTACAGTCGTCCTCCTTTCCTCTCTTTACTTAATAATAATAATAATGATAATAATAATAATAATGTTAATAATAATAATAATAATAATAATAATGACAGCTCTAACACCATCAACAATACTACGTTTTTCGTTCTTTTCCCCTCTTTACTTTAATAATAATAATAATAATAATAATAATAATAATGGCAGGTCTATTACCATCACCACTACTACGATGATAGCACAATCTTTCTCCTTTCCTCTCTTTACTTTATAATAATAATAATAATAATAATGATAATAATAATAATGGCAGGTCTATTACCATCACCACTACTACGATGAGACTACAGTCTTTCTCCTTTTCTCTCTTTACTTAATAATAATAATAATAATAATAATAATAAAATACAAGGACCTTGAAATCGAAATCTCAAAAATGTGGCACATGGGAACATCAAGAATTCCTGTTGTAGTTGGAGCCCTCAGATTGATTGGAAAAGATTCCAGTAGACTCATTGAAGGGATTCCTGGAAGCCCATGCCTTAAAGAAATACAAAAAATTGTTCACACTAGTACAGCCCACACCTTACGGAGGTCTTTATCTATGTAAAATATATGTTTGTGCTTTTTTTTTAATTGGTCAGTGAAAATATCATGATGCCATTTCTGACCTTAGGTCTCTGGTCGGGATCCGGAACGAAATGTGTACATACCAGAAATCAAAGGAAATGAAAATAATAATAATAATGGCAGGTCTAACACCATCACCACTACTACGATGAGAGTACAGTCTTTCTCTTTTCCTCTCTTTACTTAATAATAATAACAATAATAATAATAATGGCAGGTCTAACAGCATCACCACTACTACGATGAGAGTACAGTCTTTCTCCTTTTATCTCTTTACTTAATAAAATAATAATAATAATAATAATAATAATAATAATAATAATAATAATAATAATCTGCAACTTCTACGGGAAGGAAACTGAAAGAAACTGGTATGAACACCACCCAGACCCGGTTACGGAGATAGGACCTGTTACAATTCTATGGGACTACACAATACACACTGACAGAACAATCAAAGCCAACCGCCCGGATATTGTTATTAAAGACCACAAACAAAAAAAAGTGCCTCCTTATTGATATGGCAGTCCCTGCTGACTGCAATGTATCTTTGAATATATTCAAAAAGCTGTCAAAATACAAGGACCTTGAAATATAAATCTCGAAAATGTGGCATATAGGAACATCAACAATCCCTGTTGTAGTTGGAGCCCTAGGATTGGTTGGAAAAGATTGCAGTAGACTAATTGAAGGGATTCCTGGAAGTCCATACCTCAAAGAGATACAAAAAATTGTTCTGACAAGTACAGATCACATTTTACGAAGGGCTTTATCTATGTATTTTTTTTTTTTCATTTTTGTCAGTGGAAAGTGTCATGACGCCATTTCTAACCTTAGGTCCATGGGCGGGACCCGGAAAGAAATGTGTAAACGCCAGAAATCAAAGAAAATAATAATAATAATAATAATAATCATGATGATGATGATGATAATAATAATAATAAAACCATCACCACTATTACAATGAGAGTACACTCTTTCTCATTTCCTATCTTTATTTAATAAGAACAACAACAACAATAATAATAATAATAATGTCAGGTCTAACACCATCACCACTCCTAAGATGACAGTAAATTCTTTCTCCTTTCTTCTCTTTACTTAATAATAATAATAATAATAATAATAATAATAATAATAATAATAATGTCAGGTCTAATGGCATCACCAGTACTACGATGGCAGTAGAGTTTTTTATTTTATCTTTTTTCATTTCAGCAAATATACTTCTTCGTCGGCATCTCATATTCAATTACGGATGACGTGTTGCTTTTTCAGAAGCCATTTGTTGTTTCCTCTCTTCAATTAATTAACTAACTAATTAATAATAAGTATTATTATTATTTTTATTATTATTATTACAATCATCAGTAATAATAATAATTATTTGACGTTGCATTTTTGAGCGTATTTTACCAGGAAACAAAACCGGATGCCAAATTGGTTTCCCGCAAACGGAATCGGGCGATGGAATTGTAGGTAAAAAGATGGATGAAAATTCGTAGGGAAGAGATTTCAAAGGTTGAGTGCGGGGGTGGGTTATTCTAAGCCAGGAGGGCAGGGGAAAACCTAAGATTGGAAACACGGGAAACTTGAAAAGCATTTTCTCTTCTTTCCTTTTTTTTCTGTCGGCTCCGACAAATACCTTGCTTTTTATTCCTTCATACCTACAAGGTTCCTTATTGACCTTTGATGTAGCCTCATTCACTCTTCCCGACATACACACACGGGCGAGCGCGCGCGAGCACACACACACACACATATATATATATATATATATGTGTGTGTGTGTGTACATTTACATTTGTAGATATATGAGAAAGATACAAACGGATATATATATATATATATATATATATATATATATAAATAGCAAGATATATATATATATGTGCGTGTGTGTGTGTGTAAATATATATATATATGTGTGTGTGTGTGTGTATGTGTGTCTATCTGTGTGTGTGCGTGTGTGTGTGTATGTGAGAGCGTGTTTGTGTGTGTGAGTATCAGAGACCGACAAATTACAAATGTTTGTTTCTGCATATATATATGTCGATATAAATATCAAGATACTTAGACACATTTATATATATGTGTGTGTGTGTTTATGCGCATGTGTGTATATATATATGTGTGTGTGTGTACGTATATATATATATATACATATATATGTTTATATAAATATATATATATATATACACACACACAGACACACACACACACACACATATATATATATATATATATATATATATATATATATATATATATATATATATATATATAAATTAATAT